GATGCCAAAACTAGATTACTTATAAAAGACAGAATGATCATAAACACTCCTATGTAAACCAAACTGAGTCACCACTTTGCTAAACCTCCCAAACCAAGCTCATGGAGATTGTTTTAAGCCATATCAAGATTTCTTTAGTTTGCATACCTTTCCTGACTCCCCCTAAGCAACAAGCCCCGGAGGTTGCTCCATGTAAACCTCTTCAAGAAGATCACCATGTAAAAAAGCATTTTTTACGTCAAGTTGGTGAAGAGGCCAACTATATGAAGTTGCAAGTGAGACGAATAGTCGGACAGAGGTCATTTTAGCCACTGGGGAGAATGTGTCAGAGTAATCAATACCATATGTCTAGGCATAGCCTATGGCAATCAACCGAGCCACAGACCCATCGGGATTCGCCTTCACTGTGAAAACCCATTTGCACCCAATGACCTTTTTATTTTCAGGTAAATCTATTAATACCCATTTATCATTATGCTCTAGACATCTCTTCTTCCATAGCCCTTCGCCACTCATCATGAGTAATTGCTTCAGACACAGAGCTGGGAACAGACACAAAGTCTAAAGAGGCAATAAAAGACTTGGAAGACAAAGACAAAGAGTGATAGGAAACAAATGAAGAGATAGGATAGGTACAAGAGCGCTTACCTTTACGAAGAGCAATGGGAAGATCAAGGTCAGAAGTAGGAGGAGCCAGATTTGAGGGCGAGGCAGTGGATCAGATGTTGATGCATGTGCCTCATGGTGCTGGTGAACCCTGCGAGAGTATACCTGGGTGATAATAGGATAAGATGGTAGAGGACTATGATGGGTAATGTTGTAAATAAGAAAATCATCAGGGGGTGCTTCAAGAGAGGTAAATGGAATGGAAGACTCAACATATGGAGTGGTTTCAAAAAAGGAAATATCAGCTGAGACAAGGTACTTACCTAGGACAGAAGAAAAGCAACGATAACCCTTCTGATATCGGGAATAACCCAAGAATATTCACTTGAGAGATCTAGGTTCTAATTTGGAGACATGAGGTCTAACATCTAGAATAAAGCACGTGCACTCAAACACTTTAGGAGGAAGAGAGAATAAAGGCTGAGATGGAAAAAGGATGAAGTATAGGATTTGACCACCCAAAACAGAGGAAGGCATGCGATTGATCAAGTGACATGCAGTAGAGACAACATTTGCCCAAAATTATGTAGAGACTTTCATTTGAAAAAGGAGAGTACGAGCGACTTCTAATAAATGACGATTTTTGCGTTCAGCAACCCAATTTTGTTGAGGTGTATATACACATGATGATTGATGAATAATACCTCTAGTAGACAAAAAGGAGGAGAAAGGTGCAGAAAAGTATTCTTTGGCATTATCACTTCTGAAAATTTTAATAGATGAAGTAAATTGACTTTGTATTTCAGCATAAAAGGCACAAAATATGGAGAATAATTCAGAACGATTTTTCATAAAATACAACCAAGTCACACGTGAAAAATCATCCACAAAAATAACAAAGTATCGATATCCACACTTAGACAACATAGGGCAAGGACCCCAAACATTAGAGTGTTGTGACTCTTTTGTTTATCCTAGGGCTATAGGACACTCGTTGGTGTTTCCCAAACTGACACGCCTCACACCTTGCACTCAAGGTGTGACGTTGACCTTACACTAGGACACAACTTTTTCAAAATGGGAGGGGGAGGATGACCAAGGCGACCATGTAATATGAATAGAGATGAATCACTGGTACACGCAACAGGTTGAGGGACTGGAGTGGAGACATCATCGAGCATATACAGGCCACCTGATACACGACCCCTACCAATAATCTGCCTCGTCCCAAGATCCTGAAATATACAATGAGTAGGAAAAAACTAAACACCACAGTTGAATGCATTAGTAATTTGACTAACAGATAATAGGTTAAAGGGACAATGAGGAAGACACAAAACAGAGGAGAGAGACATAGATTTGGTGAGATGGGCAGTACCACATCCAATAATAGGTGCAGTAGACTCGTTAGCTAAGGTAACAGAAGACAAATCGGAAGAAGGTGAAAATGAGGAGAGAATACCTGTATTGATCGTCATATGGTGAGTAAGGGTGTTCAAAAGCGGTTAACTGGTTTCGCTTTTCTGAACCGAACTGGTTTTTTGGTTTGAGAAAATTTCCGAATCGAAACCGAACCGGTTAACCGCTTTTGTTTTCCCTTTTTTTTTTTTTTTTTTTATAAAACTTATTTTTTTAAAATTTTTCCTATATTAAATTGTAAGTATAAGCAATACATATCCAAATAAAAATTAAACATTCATACATATTCATTGACCACTACTAACAATACATTAAAAATTGATACAAATAAAAGTCTGAAATTAAATTCTTTATTATTATTATTATATATATATATAAAAAACCGGTTCAAACCATTTTTTATTTTTTCCCGAATCGATAACCGAACCGGAAATCCAGTTTTTTAAATTTTTCGAATCGTAACCAAATCATTTTTTCGGTTAACCGATTTTTCGGTTCGGTTGTCGGTTCGGTTCGGTTTTTGCATTTTTTTAAACACCCCTAATGGTGAGTAGCACCAGAATCAATGATCCAGTTACTACTAGAAGTGGACAAATAGGCTGTAGGATTACTTAACTAGGTTAATGTAGTGGTAGTCGATGGGATGGATGACTGGGAGCTAGAATGCTGAGTGAGGCGAGCATATTCAGCTGCAGAGATAGAAACCTGTGATGGGGTTGGTAAGAGACCATCTTGAGTTGCAACATGAGCAAACTTCTGAGTGTCTTGCATATTTGAGGGCTTCCAATGCTGAGTGAGGCGAGCATATTCAGCTGCAGAGATAGAAACCTGTGATGGGGTTGGTAAGAGACCATCTTGAGTTGCAACATGAGCAAACTTCTGAGTGTCTTGCATATTTGAGGGCTTCCAATGCTGATTGAGGCGAGCATATTCAGCTGCAGAGATAGAAACCTGTGATGGGGTTGGTAAGAGACCATCTTGAGTTGCAACATGAGCAAACTTCTTAGTGCCTTGCATATTCGGGGCTTCCCATAGAGCTTCCAACAGTTCTTCTTTACATGACCCTCAGCACCATAGTGATAGCAAGTACGAGGGTCATTACCACAATTGTTCCCAATATCACGACTTGCCCTTTGTTGCCTTTGCCATCACTAGGCTTCATGCTAGCTAGGGCCGCATGATCTACATTAAGATCCTTAAGGATTTCTTTGTCCTTAGAAACTCTTCGATCTTCCCCCTTGCTAATTCTGAGAAATCAAGCAAAGACATTTATAAGAGAGGGAAGTGTCTCGCCGGTAAGAAGCAGTATACGAGCTATCTCGTATTTTGATCTCAATGCAGTCAGAAAATATTGCACTACCACTTGCTCTTCTTGTGCTTGCATCATCTTCACATCAATAGGGACATGAAACATAGCCCTTTTTTCTTCAAAGGCTTGTTTTATCTCTGTATAATATTTGAACAATGTCTTCTCTTGTATATTTGCTCGGTAGATCTTCAATAACAATTCATGGGCATGAGACAAGTCTTGTTTACCAGCACACAAGAACTCTAGATACTCCTATAACTCTTTGACGGTATCACAATGACTAGTCACATCATCCACGGACGAATTGAGAGTGTTCTAAATCTGATCGAAGAGCTTATCATCTTCCATGAGCCATTTTTTTCGAGTTTTACTATCACTTTCTGTTTCCTTAGGCGAATCCTCGATTAAATGGTCTCCCATGTCAATCCTGGACACATATCGTCGGATAATCTGTTTCCATTGAATATAATTCATTTTTCCCAATAACTTCTGATAAGTGATTTTGGTGGAGGAAGTGACAATTTCGGTCACCATCTTCTTAACGTCCTCTGCCATATTGTCTAGCAATTGACAGGGTCAAATAACTCCCAACTCCACAGATTCACAACAACCTTAACACCAAACAACCCAAGCAAACACAAATGCACCCCAATCTCAAACAACCAGAAAGAAACTAGCCACTTTCTTGTAAAAGGAATCACTGGGAACAACAAAGAAGAGAGAAACCAGAGGACAGATTGCTAGCCACCGGAAAGAGCAAAGAAATCACCTCGTCGAAGGAAGCAAAGGGATTGCATCGTCGGAAAGTCGAGATGAACAAAGAGAAACCAGAGGAGAAATCGTTGGAATGAGCAGAAGAAAGGGACAAGTTAACTGGAATAGAACCAACATTCGTCGGAAAGGGAGAGGCCGAGAGTAGAAGTCGTCGGAAAGGGAGAAACCAAGAACAGACGTCGTCGGAGATAACAGAGGAGGTCGAGGGTTTGTCAGACAGATTCAGATGTTGCCGGAGAGAGAGAAACCATGAACAGAAGGTTCGCCGGAATCGCGGGCCGCCGGAAAACAGAAACGTAGAAACGAGTTTTAGGGTTTAGTCCCGCTCTGATACCATGTTTTCAATATTTGCATTTTTCAATTTCTATTTTCTATTTTTCTCAACAGTACAGCCTAACAAATATATACACACACTACAATTACATATATACCCTTGACTACATATATACATAGTTTCCAACAAGAAACAAGTAGTCATTCAAACTACACTAGCAGGCATCATAGAGATTTCCAAACTTTGAGATTTCAATTCGTTTGAAAAGAGAGAAGTCATGTTTGTCAGTGTTGCTGTTGACATCTTGTTTTATCTCAAACTAGGTTGTTGGTGGTAGTTTTAAATTACTAGGATTTTTTTTCTCTTATGTGACGCACTAGAGCAGTACTTAAGCTCTGATTAGAGGTTATGATCTCGCAGAAGTTTCTCAACTCTAAATCATCCATTAATGTCTCTGTTAACTCCTGCCAAAGTTTCCCATTAATTTCTGTGTTTTTAGTACTTCCATCATCTTTTGAATTAGGTACTGGCATCAATATCAGTTTTTCTGACCACATCAATATTTGGGAACTGATTTTATCTACTTTGTTATGTACATGATTTGCTATAATCATTTCATTGACATCTTTGATTTCTTTCCAGATTAATTATGTTTCTGCACATGACAATGAAACCCTGTTTGACATTGTGAGTCTTAAGGTATGTTCAGCATACTCTTCCTACTAGTTTATGTATTTATAACTCTGGACCTAATCCAGTCCATCTACTAGTAGACCCCAATGGAAATATCTGTTGATGAGAGATGCAGGATAAATCATTTGGCGACAAGTATAATTGCTCTCGGCCAGGTTTTATTTACTCCTGTTATGATTTTCTGAGTAATTATTTATAGCTACATTGAATATGGTGTTTAAAATCATAATAATCATATCTTCATGCCTTGTGAAATGATGCAAATGGCCTTTTACTGTCCTTTATTTTTTTCAGTGCTAATAAGGTATTTCAGTAAGAGCCTAAGAAAACTAATTAGAAAAGTATAATACAGAGTGTATGAATGGTCTTATAAGCGTGGAATAAAATCTGGATGCCATGATTTATGCATCGTCAGAGACATTACTTCTCTATCATACTGAATTAGTATTGGGAGTTGGGGGATTGGGAGGGGGCTGCTTGTTTCTATATTTTAGCAATATAAGACTTCATTGACAGAATTACTGAATAGATCGTCGAGATTTTTCAGTATATCTTGAATTCACCATATATCGAGCCCATTTGATTAGTCTTAAATGCATATTATCTCTCTTCTTTAATTGGCTAGGTCAGCTATATGCTAGCCCCTATTTTATTTCTTAAGCTGATGATTATTTTTAACTTTTTCTTTCTTGGTTAGGGAATTCCATTTTTTCACTCTGGTGATGAAATCCTACGCTCAAAGTCACTTGATCGTGATTCGTACAATTCTGGTGACTGGTTCAATAGGTCCATTGCTCTTCTTATTTTGAAATTTTATTCCTTAGTTAAATAGACGCATATTATGTCTTTTGGTCAATAGCATTCATTTACTGTTAAGTTCTTTTCTCTATGATGATACTACAAGAGAGTTGTTACTTTCAACTTGTCACTGGATAAACTTGCATTTCAAATTCTAATATTTCAAAATGAGTTTTCTCAATTTCGAGGGTTTCTCATTTCAATTTTCAGGTTAGATTTCACCTACAATTCTAACAATTGGGGTGTGGGCCTTCCTCCAAAACAGAAAAACGAACATAATTGGCCATTGTAAGCATTCATTGTTTCCATTATCATCTATTGGTGCACTTTTATTTTTGTCGAAATTTCAAGTGCCCTCTTATTTTGGGTGAAGTAAAGATTTTTCTTTGACTTTCCACTGTTGTTCTGTTCTACTTAATGATAATTTTGGTTGTCTTTTTCCAGAATGAGACCAAGGTTGGCAGATCCATCCTTTAAGCCTCAAAGGAATCACATCCTTGCTGCACTGGATAACTTTTCAGAAGTATTACGTATTCGGTATTCTTCTCCACTTTTTCGTTTAAGGACGGCAAATGCTATCCAGGTGAGGGAAGTATGAAAGTTTCAAAACCAACTAATTTGGAGATGATACATTATTGTCAACGCATTAAGACATGTTTCAAAAAGGCAAATGAATTGTCTTGGACTGGAAGCACCACAAATTTCTGCTTGAGACACCACAAATCACGAGTTCTTTTGATGTGGTAACTTAACTTTTTTCAGGAACGAGTACGTTTTCATAACACTGGTCCCTCATCGGTCCATGGTATTATAGTGATGAGCATTGAAGATGGTCATGACGGCACCCCTGGGTTAACCCAATTGGATTCTAAGTGGGTACACTGAAATTATTGTTTTTCTTCTGATGACAAATGATTTGATAATAGTGTTGACATCCTTTTTCGTTGCAGCTACTCATACATCGTGGTAATCTTCAATTCATGTCCAACAGAGGTGTCATTTGGCAGCTTTGCACTTCGCTGAAGAAATCTTCAACTGCATCCCATACAGGTAATCATATTTTTAGTACTCTCTCTTACAAGTGGCTTAGGAAGGTTAATATTTTCGGCAGTTATTGATTGCTGTCCTCTTAACATTCTTGCTGCAGACTCTGTCAAGCGATGAACTAGTCAAGAACTCATCTTATGACGCATCCTCAGGGTGCTTCACCGTGCCTCCGAGGACGACATCTGTATTTGTCGAGCCTCGGAAAACTTGAGCAGCGTATGCAGTGAGAACACTAAAATAATTGTCTAGTGAATTTTCCATGCGAGAGGTACGTTGATTGAGTGTATTAGTCATAGTTTCTCTCCTCAGTTTAACTTGGACCCAAAATTCAGTTATTTCCAGGGCTGTTTTTTGAGTAGAAAATGAAACCACTCTAGCAATTATTTTTGCTACCCCAACCTTTTCTTGATCCATATTGCAGCACATAGACTTTCCATTTGGAGATAAAATATTAGATTATGATTTCAACCTTCTAATTTCTCAAATGTTGATCGCAGAAAAATGAGCTAATATTTAAATAGAATAATTTAAAAAAAAAAAGAATAAGGGCATTTTAAAGTTATTTTCTTCAAGCATTAGAGATCTCTTATGGTCTATTTTTGTTTATATAATATATTTTTATTTAATTATCTATTTTTTATTTGTCACATTATACACCGAACTCTATAAATATTTAAAAACTTAAATTTAATTTCTAATTTGGAGAATTTTATAAGAATTTGGTGATTTTTCAAGCCCCAATTAAAGTGGGTCTGTCTTAGTCTGCTTGACGGCCTAAAATTCATTCCCAGAAAGAAAATCAAAAAGCTTTTCCTACAATATCACCTAAATATTATATTGGCAGTTTATAAATAGTGAAAATTTACCACAAACTTCTTGTGGCCAAATCCAGGGAGACTTATAATAAATTTTAGTTTGTGGTTTTATGACAATTAGTCCACTTTTATAAATATTTTAATTATTTATTATATATTGTTTGATGGGTGAGTGTGAAATAATTATAAGAGTCTAAAAATGTAGAAGAAATAGTGAAGTAAAAATAAGTGGCAACGCCACTTCCAAGTAGCTCCATTACTTATTTTTAATTAAAGATTTCAATTTCAGTTTCATATAAATAATTATTCATGTCAACATTGTGGACGGTGTTATTTCCTTTCACTATAAATTCATATTTGAGCAATTAATTCTTTTAGAAAATGACCTCTCTTTGCTGTCATTACCATCTCCAAGTGAATTTAATTAATTAAAGTCGGAAGAAAAATCCATACAAAAATATATAATTTCTCTTTTGAGTATGAAAATCTTTCCTGATTGTGCAGTCAGGCTCTTATTATTATTATTATTATTTTTCATGTTAAATGATTTTACTAATAGTCAAGTCAAGTTAATAAAAAATAAAAATAGTTTCAGAATTTAGACTGGGAAATTTGAATCAATAAAAAAGAGTGATGGTGAGGAGAAAAGGTTATTGATGCCGAGTATAACTAAACTACGTCGTTTCGCCCACGTAGCTGACTGTTAAAATATATTTAAAAACAAGAAAAAAAAAAAAGAACTTTTCCTTGCTTAGTGAAGACGATATGGATAGTAGCAGGCTGTACAGGCAAGGCATACTCTTAAACTTACAGCATATGTCACAGCAGTTGAGTTGACTATTATAATAATAAAAGAAATACAAATTTTAAATTATAAGCTAGGCAAAGGCAGCAGAAGTCATGGCTTCCCTCACGTATTCTGATTCAAACTTATTTGGTTTATAAATTAATGGAACCTTTGGGGTTGCTTTGCTTTTGCTTAGTTGCAGTAAACGTGTTACTTATATTGAGTGGCTCTGAAGCTACTGAATCTCCCACTTCCTTCCAGTTGATGACTTGTCAACTACAAATTCTATATCATCATCATCTCCATCTCCATCCATTCATATTAATTAAATTTTTCAATGGTCGGTTTTCTACCCACTGGTTTTCTCTTCCCCTACTTCACTTTGTTTCTTTCTAGCATTCTCTCCTAAGCTATCTATCTATCTTTTTCCTCCTTTGTTTTTATAATACCATTATCAACTCATTTTTTCCATAAATTCAATGAAATTAAACTCATCTTTACCTAAATAAAGTACAAGATTATGATTGATTGTAACTTAAAAGAAAGATGAAAACATTAACAAAATCTCAACCTTGTATGCTCATTAACTTACATGTGTAATTAAGAGACGATTTCTGCTAGAACAAATACATTACGTTATCTTTGTATATTTTTGGTTATGATTTGTAATTGGTTAAGTGAAAGAAAAAATGAATTCATATATAATTAACATGATCTTATCGGATGACATACATATAACGTGATACATTTGTCTTATTTAATAAGATTTGATTTAAGAACCTTTCCTTAGATGAATTTACAAATGGGTATTCACAAAGGATTAGAGAATCAAATTGTTGTATGGGTAGGCAGATGAGGAGGGCTAAGGCAAAGGCATCCCATGAATGAAGGGATTCTATTCTTTGCTTCTGCAAATTAAACATTGATTGGGAAGAGGTGATTGGTTATGGGGTCTTACGTGCAGCACACAACCTCCCAATTATCAAAACTTGAAGCTAAGGAAAGGATAAGGACATGCCCTCCTTAACCCACCCATTTTCTTCCCTTTTTATTAGCATTAATCACACTCCATCCATTCCTCCTAATCTTAATATAAACCCACCAACCAATCCTTTTCCAAATCACATGACTAATTATTAGTAACTTCTTTTATTAGATTTGATTACAATTAATTAAACTTATTACAAATCAACCACTACTTAAGTGCAAGTATCCATATCATGTGTTCATAATTATGTTGAACTTATTACAATTTTTTTTTTTTAATCACCAAGGGTATTCGGTCCAGCTTGCACGTAGCTTAACTAATCCCTCAAGATCCTGGAATTGTCGGCCGAGTAAGAACTCTAATGATCACCTCTATTAGTGTCTAGAAGACTCCAACTCTGGAGCTCATGCAAAGCTCATTTTACTCTTTTATCATCAAATCATCCGGTGGTGGTTGAGGTTATTACAAATTAATGACCACTTACGAGTTTACTTAGAGTTTATGTATCTTTATTTTGATATCATCTTAGTAAATTAAGCTTTTTCCAAACTAATTAAGAGTAATTGAAAATATATCTTCTGAGATTATATCATAATTGTGACTGATAGTTGAAATCGTAAGAACTAAATATAATTGCAATATACTAAATATAACTGCAATACATGTTATATCCCTAATGTCATGACTTGTGAAATGGGGAAAACCTTTAAATTAAGATAAATATAACACAACCAAAAAAAAAAAAAAAAAAACACTTATGCCATTTGGACTGATAATGCACTCAGATTTGACTCTTAACATGCCCTAATTAAGTGTGTGTATATATATATATATGCACAATTTTATTTATTACATAGTGCCAACAAGATGAATTGATATTCTTTTCATACATATATGATTAATTTATATATGAGTAGTTGTCTTATTATATGATCATCCGATAATACAATCAAATTAAAATTATTAGATGAGTAACAATTAAAAAAAAAAAAGAGTTTCTATACCAATAATAAATGCCACATGCACCATTTTTCAGGTTTTAAATTGACAAATGGTCTGAATTATTCATGCCAAGTCTTTAGAGATCAATCAAAGTTGAGCTTTTCAGCCTCTTGGTGTTGTAGATAATTTCTTATATATAAAACAAAGACTTTAAGCTGACTTTGAGAATGTTTAAATTAAATAAGCATGTGGAGTGTGACATATAATTATATATAAATCCAGGAAATCATAGACTTTTCTTATGAGTAATGGGCTTGTTGCCAAATAGCTGGAATTGCAAAATTCTGGAAACAATTTCTATAATTTTATATTTAGAATACAAAGACTTTGTTTGCCAAAAGCATAAGACTTTTTATGGGTTGTTGCTGCCATCTCCCTATTGAACTCACAAACAAGTCTTTGTATTGACATCAACTGTTTGTTTGTTGGGCATCTCTATTGCTCTAGATGATAGTTAGGGTTACGTATCCACAAAATTTCATTCAAACCAACCCCTGGGTGAACTAATAGTTCGATAGAAACTTTTAGTTTTATTATTCAAGAAGTCTTGAGTTTGAGTCCCTCCTCGGTTATTAATAGGGGTGACGACTAGAGCTCTTATGTAGTTGATAGTTCTAAGTTCTCGAGTGATTAGTTTAGGTTCGTGTAAGTTTTTCCTAACACCCCTTTTTTTTGAAAAAAAAAAGTTCATTCAACTTTGTGATCATATGTTTCAAAAATCACTTGCATATTGATTATATATTTGGTTATATGAGTTATTTTTTCAAAAGAGAGAGACGCACATAGGGTTATCAGTGATGCAATTAGTTGTTAGTGCGTCCTTGAAGTTAACGGCTAAGTAATCCTCCAGTGGTCACCCTTATTAGTAATTGATGTGAATCGAATTTATGACTTTTTGAGTAATACACCAAATAGTCATACTTGACCGCCTACCCATCCAGGGGTTGGTTACAAATCGATATTCCCCTCTTATATATTTCAACTTGAATAATGTTATACATACAAAGTTGAGATCTCAATTTTGTATTTCAACTCATGTGACAATTGATTTGCAACATCTCCTTAATTATAGGATAGTAGAATAAGCAATTTAACTCGAGAATCAATTGCCACACATAAGTTTAGATACAAAATTGTGACTCTAACTTTGTATGCGTGACATTACCTTTTGAAATTAAATCGTTTACTAATTTAACGATTAGAATTTCAACCTGATTTTTACAAAATTAAACGATCAAAAGCAAAAAATAATATAAACTTACAAAAGGAAATTTTCTTAGGGTTTTAAAATTCAACAAAATTGTTTAACCTAATATGAAAGAATCAAATCCTAAAAGCTTTTACACAACTAAACTCGTTAGCTAGTTAACACGCATTAATTATCTCTGGGTGACCGAATAGTTCGATAGAGATTCTTAGGTATATTACTCAAGAGGTCCCAAGTTCAAGTATCTCCTCAATTGTACAGTAGCCACTGGAGCTTTTACAAAACTGGTAGTTTCAAGGTCTATTGGGATTAGTTGAGATGCGCAAAACTTACCCGAACACATCGTCGGTCATTCAAAAAAAAAAAAAAGTTAACACTCATTATAAATAAAGAATTAAGATTAGATATAAATGATTGGGTGAATAGCACATGAACTGAATAATTAGCACTAATTATTATGGATTGTGAAACACTCGCAAAGATGCTTATCCACAATTTTACTATTAAATATTTTATATTTATTGAATTTCAGTGAGTGAGAAGCAAAAACAAGGTACACTACATTTGGACTTGGACAGCTTGTGGATGCACGGAAATTTCGTGCAATCACGTTTCGTTTGTACCACGTGTCAAAACGCACATGGGGGTAGCTGTCGGCTGTTAAAAAGCAGGATCAA